GTGGGTGGGGGGTTTTGAGTTGGGGGGGGTGGGCAAAGGGGTGTTGTGTGAGGGTGTGGTAGGGTCATGGGGCAAGAGCGTGTTGGCATGGGCTGTAGGGGTCAGAGGTTAAAGGGCCAAAGGGCATGGGGTGGGAGTCAAGGGGTGTTAGGCACTGGGGAGCAAGGGTCTGGTTTGGCTGATGGTCAGGTAATGTATTTGCATATTCATTATTTGCATAATGAATATGTGAATATGCAAATGTGACCTGGCCACCAAAGGTTTGTGAATGGGTTTGCCGGTCCCCGGCATAAAAAAGGTTGGGAACCACTGTTTTAGGGTATGTCTACTCTACAAGTTGTGTCAACAAAACTTATGTTGACACCCAAAAGTTGACAAAACAAAAATCACCAGAGGGTGTTCAAACTTGCTCCCTCTGTCCACAGATCATGTCCACAATTGGTGGGCAGGAGCGGGGGGGGCCACAATCATTGACAGTGACGTAATGCCACCGTGCCGTGTTGTGGGAGTGCAGAGCTGATTCTTGTGATTTCCCCCTCAGTTCTTCCACAGCCTCTTCAGCTGCCAGGAGCTGCATTGTGAGTAGCTCTGGGAGCTCTCCCTGCTGAGAAATGTCAAAGCAACACAGCAGCTTGACCCCATCCCCCTGTAGCAGCAGTCTGCCTGCTGCTGTTTTCCTACTGCAGGGAAGAACAGCAGCTGCTGCTTCGAGGAGTGTCCCCGTGGGTGCTCCACCTTAGGTGTCTTGGTGCCACAGCGTGCCTGGCTGGAAAATGTTAATAGCAGTGGCTTTGACAGCTAGCTTGCACATGTGCAAAAGCGCTACATGTGCTAGGCGGCTAATGCGCATGTACGAGATACAATCTCCACAGTTCCTTCTCTGCCGCCCCCGGCATCGGTCGGAACCCGCAGTGCCCTCTACAGATTTTTCCTCAGAGACCGCTAGTCTTAGTTTTCTTTTCCTTTACTTATTTAATCTTTCTTTATTATATTTTTACTAGCCAATTAGCCCGTCATAAGACGGGATTTTCAGGTCTCTCCTCCACGTCCGTCTTCTCTCCTGAGCCTCCGGTCTCTCGCGCCATCTCTCAGCTCTCCTCCGCCTCCTGCCTCTCACTTGGTGGGACTGCGGAGCCCAAACAGTTGTTTGGGCTCCACAGTACCCGTGTTGCATGGGGAATGCAGAGCCCAAACGGTTGCTTCTGCCGCTTGCTCCCATGCGGCAGCCAGGCTGAGTGGCACAGAAGTCAGCCGAGCACCACGGCAGGAGATGAAGGGTAGCGGGGTGGTGACATTCACAGCCAGGGGGTAGGGCCTGGAGCCGCTGTCATGCCGCACATCACATCACCGTCCTGCCCCACCCCCCTTTCACCTACCACTGTGGCGCTCAGCTGACTTCAGGGGGAGCAAGTGGCCATTTCGGCTCCCCTGTGGTGGCCTGGCTGAGCAGAGCAGAAGTCAGCTGAGTGCCACAGCAGGAGGTGAAGGTGGGCGGGGCAGTAACATACATGGCTATGCCCTGCCCCCTGGCCATGTACGTGTCTGCCTTGCCAGCCTGCTGTGGCGCTCAGCTGATATCTGCACTGCTCAGGCGGGCCACTGTGGGGGAGCAAGCGGCCAATTGGGCCTTGTACTCCCCATGCAGCATGGGCCACCCAGAGGGAACAGACAGAATTTCAGGCAACAGTGCTGCCCAGAGGGAACAGCCAGCATTTCAGTGTTAGACTCTGACACTGGGCTACTACATATATGATATCTATTTAGCTAATGAGTAATTGTGAAAAGCCCATCTTCAATGTTGTGGTGCCTCTTCTAGAGCCTTTTGATGCTGATGCTTAATGAATGTTGTATTCATGCAACTTTTTACTGAGTAAGGGCCCAAACTAAGCAAGATCTGAACTCTTTCTAACAGTTGTGCTCCCAGAAGGTGGTGGAGAGAACTTGGCACCTTTATCAAAGACAACAATTCATAGGCTCTGCATGTTAAATATCTACCCATGGGCAGCAGGTACAAGCCCAGCTGCGGAAGGCAAGCCCTAGCCCTGCAACCTTCCACCTGAGGCCTTGTTCCTTCAGCAACCTTCCTCCAGCCCCCTGTGGAGCAAAGCCCCACCCAAACGGAGCCTGATCCTTTGTGGCCACCTGCAGGGTTGGGGTGCTATGTTGCAGCCCCAGCCTTACCCAGCAGCTACCACACCATGGCTCATCTTCCCTGGCAGCTGGGGACTCTAGGCATTTTTGGGAAGGCAATATCTTCCCTTGCTTACATTACCCACCATTCAAAGATGGTGATTATGTAAAAATGATAGAATACACTTGTATATTTCATTCTCTGCTTGCGAAGCCAAAGCATACACCGGCACATTGTTTACCCCCATGCCTCCTTTTTGCCCTTTTAGGTCCACAGACGATTCAATGATCTCTTCAGTGCCTGCGACACCCTTGTTTGGCACTGATTCCTCCCCGCATTCCAAGAGTTTTTCCATGTCTATGCCTGGCACTTCCATACCTCCATTATCTGGTGAGGAGGATCAGGCTTCTATCATGACCTCAACTCCTCCTAGACACTCTATGCTGAGGTGCAAATTCCCTTGCTCACAAATGGCCTTCCACAGTTGGCAACCTGAATATTGGCTACCACCACCTATGCCAATGCCCCCACACTGGGAATCCACTACTTCCTCTCACCTGCTGTTCCAGGGCCCCCCGCCCTTGTCCTGAGCAAGTCTTTACGTACAAAGTTCACATCGTTTACCAAAGACTGCAAACATCATGTTTAATCCACATCACAATTTGTCCTGCACCTGTCTCTCCTGAGTGATTGGCCCTTCTCGCTGTCTAAGTTGCCAGATAGCACCGTGAGGGGGGTAGGGGGACCCGGGCCTGCCCTCACAACCGGGTCCTGACCCAGGGCCCTAAGGGGGGGAAGCACTCCTGCTCGCTCCCCTTATGGTCTGCGTGGCAGCCGCACCCTGATGATCACTGCCCTGGGTCACTTCCTACCCGCCTTTAATTCTCCTGGGTTAAAGGTGGGGGGAAAGGGGGGCCTTCCCCTGTTCCCCTCAGTTGGTCTCCACCCTCCGCTCCGGCTTGCCACCCACAGCTGCCTG